CACACCTCCGTCCTCCATGTTTTTCCCTCCCGTCTCACCCAGCACTAATTAATATGTTCTCTGTGTCCCTGAGGCTTCCTCTTCTCTTTCTTTCTCCGTCTCTCTTCTCTGTTCGTGGTCTCCTGAGGGATGAAGACGACTGTACTGCTTATCACAGCAACAACAACACCTGCTGTACTTTGCGTTGTCTGTCTCTGCCTCTAAGTTTTTATTTTAGTTCTGTCCATCTCGGTGCGTGTTAAACATGGACGTGGCTGAGATTCGCAACCTTATGCGCAAAACTCGAGACACTATTTTAGAAAACGGCTTCCTGATCAAAAGTGTCGACGAGCTCAAACATGTGAGTGTTAAAGTTTAACTTCTCGTTCTAAAGTCGTGCTTTATATATTTATAGTAGATATATGTGTGAAACCTGGGTGGGGCTCTTTGGTTCAAGTGATGCATCTTAAACTCCATCTCTGTTCTTTATTTAATATACAAACATAAACTCTCGTTTATTTTGTTCTAATGTGTTGAATGAACGTGAGATCTGTGACAGACTTCAGACAGCGTTTCTTGCCATTGGTCATAATAATAATAATAACTTTATTTAAATAGCACCTTTTTAAAAACGGTCGGTCGGAAGGTCCACGAAACTGTCGTCCTGTGAGGCAAAAATTTGTCAGAATCCTACTTACCGACATATACAGTATATCTTTAAATTTGACATTTTTGAGTTCGTGACGACGGCTTCAGTGTCTCAGGATGCCTTCAGGCGCAGCATTAAGTGTAGGTCAACTGTTTTTTTGCACACAATAGAAAATAGACTTGAAGCATGAAAACATGTTCAGGTCCCGTTTAGTAATGCAAGACGTTATGCAGCCTGTTCACACAGCTGGACTAATCAAAAACATGCACATTTGTCCCGTCAGACGCCTGAAATGTGCCTTTTTTTTTTTTTTTAAATGTCCCAAATCTGATCTGAAATCCCAGTTCAGAGAAACTGCTCATGCTGACCTGCCAGTTTGAATCCCACATCTATCTCATACTTGTCTCTCTCTCTCTCTCTAATGTTTTATATTAGTAAAGTATGAACATGGGCGTTCACTGCTTATTCATTTATCTCTAGCTGTTGCAGCTCTGATTTATCATTTTAATTGTTTCTTCTAGTCCTCTGAGGACGGGTTATGTGTCCGTGTTCTCCGGTTCCTCCCTTCTTTCTCTAATTGCATGAACAAGCAAGAGTCTAATTGATGAAGCGTTGCATACGGCATGTTGTCATGATGTTGGCTCACTAACCTCCTCCTCCTCCCCCCCCCCCCCCCCCTCCTCCAGGTGGTGGCCAGTGACGGTGTTCGGGCTATGATGGAGTCGGCCCTGACAGCCAGAGACCGGGTGGGCGTGCAGGACTTTGTCCTCCTGGAGAACTACACCAGCGAGGCCGCCTTCATAGAGAACCTACGCAAGCGCTTCAAAGAGAACCTCATCTACGTGAGTGTGTGGGGGGGTGAATGATCTATACTGAGATCATTTAGATGCACATTACAAAATCAGAGCTTCTATAGAACTGGTCATGAGTTTGGATTAGTCTGAAGGTGACTTCTTTGCTTCTCATTAGACGTTAAAAACACAACAGAATGATCTTCGTGTTGGTTTCCTGTAGTCGATCGGAATAAACTGTATTTTCTCGGTGATGAGCAGCGTCACGTTTCACGATACACAAAGTCTTCACCTGAGATGTTCTTCAGAGGGTTAAAGTCTCATCACGCATTGCTTGATGTGAACACTTCCACACGCTGTCACAGCTCATGTTGGACCAGTTAAAACAAGGCAGATAATGAGACTTCTTGTCCCCTTCGTCAGACGTACATCGGCTCGGTGCTGGTGTCCGTGAACCCGTACAAAGACCTGGAGATCTACAACAAGAACCACATGGAGCGGTACCGCGGAGTCAACTTCTACGAGGTGTCGCCACACATGTGAGTACACAACGTCTGCACACGTCACAGAATCCGACCCGGTGACGAGCTTTAAGACCAACTCTATAGAAACAGACCATCTTCTCTCTGATGGTCTGGTTTACTGATGGAGGTCTGATAGAGGATCAGGACTACACTGAGACTGGTTCAGGACCAGATAAAAGATCCTCACAGTGACTTTAAGGATCGTATGTTTAAAGCCAGAGTATTCCAGTTTGAAGTAGCCTCAAACATGAACCCTCTCTTTCCAGTCATATGGAGAGAGGCTGGTTTTCAGAACATACAATCATTGAAAACAACCCGCCATGTCTTCCTTCACACCATGAATGCAGCATTATGTACACCTGTAACAACGGGGAGCGATGGTTCATTGCACTTCTTTGCTTTTACAGGTGTAAACGTCATTCATGGTGGACAGCATGTTTACTTGTTTTTCGCTCCAAAGCTCTAAAAGAAGGAGTCTGTTGATGCTTTGTGAAGCTTCTTTAGTTTTGTCTACCCGAGGATGACGTAGTATTTCACGTCACAGTGTGTTCTAAATGACATTAGATGCTGGAAGTCAAATAATAAGACAAAAACACAAAGACAGACGGAGAACAAACTGAAGCGATATCATTTAAGTCACGAGTCTAATGCTAGAAATCAAGGGCTTGTCTTGGTTTTCACTTTAGCTCTTGATCATCTTGTCACAGGAATATTTACACTCTCGTGGTGTCATCGGTCAGACACGAGGCAGAGTGTTTGTTTGAAAGGTTGCCACAGGAATGGGGAGGGAATTCCCTGTCAACCCCCCCCCCCCCTATAGGTCAACTGCAGAACAATCAAGTGCATTATGGAGACTAGAAGTGGCGTCATCGAAAACATTTCAGAATCTCTCTCACCAGCTTCTTCCTCTCCGGTCTAACCGCTGCTGCTGCTGGTGTGTTTGTTTTTTTCTCACTTGAGCGAAGAGCCAAATGTTTTCCTCTCCCTCTGAGTGGAACCAAAGATGTGTTTTGGCAAGAAGAGGAGAAAAGTAAGCAAATGATGGGACCAGGAAAGAGAGGGAATCCCTCTGACCTGAGCCCCCCCCCAAAGCCCTCCCTGATATCTCACACCCACACACACACACACACACACACACACACGCACACACACACACACACACACTCACACACAGAGGATGATTTAGCTGTGGCCAAGCTGGTGGTTGTATTTTTTTATCTTCCAGCAATTAGTCTGTTGTCAGAAATGTGTCCGAACAGGCTGAGTCAACATGGCGGTGCTGATAACAGCGACGAGGCTGACGAATGATACTCTAACTGAAACAAGCTGTGTGTCTCTCCATCTTCACACGACCAGGAGACCCACGTGTTCCACTCACACTCAAGTTTTCCAAACAGACTTAGCGTGAAGTTTCTAATATCTCAAGTGTGCTTGAAACACCCGATCTCGTCTCTCTCCTGCAGCTACGCGGTGGGCGACAACTCGTACCGCTCCATGAGGACGGAGAGGAAGGACCAGTGCATCCTCATCTCCGGGGAGAGCGGCGCCGGGAAGACGGAGGCGTCCAAGAAGATCCTGCAGTACTACGCCGTCACCTGTCCGGCCAGCGAGCAGGTGCAGACCGTCAAGGACCGCCTGCTGCAGTCCAACCCGGTGCTGGAGGTGAGATGTTGAGGCATTAATGTCTGTGGACCACACAGGGGTTCTCTCAGAATACTGGACTCTCTCTCTGTCTCTCT